GATTCCTATTCAGGATATTTCCATTATTTCACAGGCTCAAATAGATTTTGCATTTAATAAGAAACGTTTATATAATCGATAATTGGAAGATTTTTTATTGTTTACAACCAGAATACTCTTCCTTTTAGTATTGTCTCAGTTTTAAAAGTTCAAATTCTATCCCCCTAAACTGCTTATTTGTTCTTAACGTTTGTTATAATAAAAGGTGTGTATATTATCAAATTGCATGACTTAGTAAGTAATTAACTCTATCTTGAGAGGTTGGAGATAGCTAAGTTTCATGTACTCTTAATAATATTTGGAAACCTTAGTACTTATTTGAGATTCTTTTAATAGATTTACATTGTAGTTTTATGTATAAATATTATCGTCTATTGGATAGGTAAGATTATAGCAATATACCTCAGAATTATAGATAGAGCTATAATGGAATAAAGAAACAAAATCAGATACAGGGTTAGTTTTGAGACAGTTGGACCATACTAGTAACCGACGTATCCTAACTTCAATGCCAAATATAAACAAACTTTATTTTATCTTTCAATATATAATAATTAAAAAGCAAAATTTCATTAATTAAATATTCCAAAATTTCAGTCCACCATGCACTCCCCACCTTTAAATCTCCTCTCCACCTCCCCACTTGAAATTCACACAAACCCAAAACTCAGAAAAAAGAATGGATTCATCAAAGAAGTCTAATAAAATTACTGACATTGTTAGACTTCAACAAATCCTCAAGAAGTGGAAAAAACTTCAAATGCACCCAAAAACATCAACAAAACTTCAACCATTTCTTCCATTCTTCTTCTAATTCATCAAATACTACCAATAAAAGCATCAAGTTTCTAAGAAAACCCTCTCTTTTCTGATGTTTCAACGCAGGAGCATCCAAACGACGTGTCCCGAAAGGGTTTTTAGCGGTTTGCGTGGGGAAAGAGTTGAAGAGATTCATCATTCCCACAGTAGATTTGAGTCATCAGGCATTTGGATATTACTGAGAGAAGCTGAAGAGGAGTTCGGGTTCAACAAGAGGGGTGCTGAAGATTCCATGTGAAGTCTGTGCTTTGAGAAGATCTTGAAGGTGGTTGAAGAGAAAAAGATGTGCTTTATTTACATGAATTAGGGTTTATATAGAGAAAGATATGATTGGTTGTTGCTCTTCAGATTGTGAGTTAACACCTTCTCACATCTCTCAAATTGTAGATGAATTAATGGTTAAATAATTAATCTTGAAGATTGTTTCATTTCTTCAAGAACCAACTCTTCTTTTTCTTTGTTGGTTTTTTTGCTTTTATTTTACTTTTTTGTAAGGGAAATTTAGATAGATATATGAGTGAGAATTTAGAAGGAAAAGTAGAGTTGAATAAGGTAGATGTTTATGTCATTGAGAAATATTCACCAGCTGGATTAATTTTATTATCATCCGGGGAACTTCATGTATCTACATTACTTTTGTGCAAAGGAAATTGATTAATTTTCTTTTATGCATGCATAATGTTGAATAATTTAGCCTTCTGGTTTCATTTCAAGCCCCCATTTCTAACCCCACGCTAGAAGACTGATGTGGCTAGAAATGGGATCCCTGACGCAGAGTGCGCGGGGAGAAGTATATTTACTGTCAACGCGAGTTGGCGCTGCGTGTCAACATCGGTTTCGTGTCCAGCGGCGTTGGGACATTATGTTTTCCGGTAGTGTCGGGAAATCAAATTTCATATTAACTCCTGATTAGATGTTTTTGCTATGTAAATTTTACAATAACTGGTGTTTGTTTGAAATGAACTTGAACAAGGAGAGAGAATGAGCGTATCTTCATATGGCTGTTCATAATCAATTTTTTTACTGTACAAGAACATGTCTCGAGGGTGGAACAGTTTTTATATTATAATTATTATTATATTATCTAATTGATCACTCTGCAGATCTGCATTATTTTGCTAATTATTTCCACTTTGGACGCAGATAGCTTTGTGTGATGAATTAGCATATTATTATATATGCTAATGTATGAATCATTATAATGTTATCCTTTATATGTTTTTGTAAAACTATATTATTATAATTAGTGATGATATTTTAGTACACACAGACTCTATATTGTGCTTGCACTAGCACTAATATAGTATGTACGTATTGTACTACATAACAAAATTTAATTCTCTTTCCCCTAAAACTTTAATTATTAATTTAATCAACAAGTTGCCCCTGTAATTTTCTTTATCTCAATGTCTTCCATTACTTTATATATATTTTATGATTGCCACTGCTGCCTCATCTGTGCTTACTGATGATAATATTTTCTTTCAACACCATGATCTTAAATTTTTTATTTATTTTAGCGTTAAATAAAATTCTTTTCATTACTTACCCATTACCATACTCAAATTTGGTATGGAATTGGATGATCTCAATAATATATAATACTGTTTTACAGTTGACTTGTCAAATTACAAAATTTTAAATGACAGTCTTGCCTTCCAATTTAATAGAATGTCGACCTCGTTGGACTTTGGGATGGTAAATGATGAATTTTGAATGTTTAGGAGAGTTTGATTAAAATGATGATAGTTGACATCCGAAGGTGATTTCAATTAAACATAGAGATAATGTTTTTTGCCTTTTTTCCCCTCGATTCTAATTGGAATTTCTAGGGATATGATTCCTGTATGAACGAGTTCACTATCATCTTGCCAACTAATATCTGAGGAAAACTTTTGTATCTTGTAAATCATGTAATGACTCTTCGGTTATCAATTTTCTTTTTTGTTTTCATAAAAGGAAGAATGTATGTACAACTCTTATAGCCTAAAAAATGAGAAGAGAAAGAACACTTTAACAGATAACAAGATAAAAAACAAAACCACCACAGTGACCATAAAGTAAAAGAGTAAAAAAAGGTTTTGATAAGCTCATAGTTTGGTCCTCCAAGCACTAAAGGGGTACTCATAAACTCTTACCGATCGAATGTTTAAGCCCTGGGAATTAGTTAAGTGTGGCAAAGCTAATCTAGACACCCGATGCTTAAAAAAAAAAAAAAAGGATAAAACCAAAACAAATTCAAATTATCACAAATAAACTTCTTCTCAAATCAAGTTTTTTGTCACATAGCAAATGGGAACCAAAATTAACAAATTTGAATAAGCTTTTCAAGACAAACAACTTGAGTTTAGATTTATGTGTTGTGGTATTTAGTTGTCAATGGTGCTAGAGAAACAGCATTGTGGAAATAGGTAAGGACACATTTTATCTTGATGGCTGCCAACAAGGTTGCGATGCGGTGGCCAAGCTTAAATAAACTAACAAACTTTGAAAAGAAAATTTGGAATGAGTTTTATTCATCACTTATGCAATGTTCAGTATGCTTATATAGTATTTATAAGCATCAACTAATCTCACTTTAACTGATTTAGTCAAATAAGGCTACGTGGCTAACAAACTTAATAGTTACTAAATTCAAAATGAGATCTCTCCCCTTGATCGAATGACAAACCCTTTATACTGTAGTTTATACCAAGTGTTGTGTTGAGTTTACAAAATCTAAATATATTTGTGCATTTACCGTGGTCCATTGGGTTGTAGGGTTTTTGTGCTCTGGATTAGGCAGGCTCTACGTGGGCTTGGATGCTTAGATATTTAAAAAAAAAAAAAAAAAAAAATCACAATAATTATCTATTGCTATGCTCAAGTTTATGAAGCTTGCCATTGAATCCTTTATATCCCCCCTTAAGTTGAACAAGTTGGAGCTAAACTAGAACTTAACTCTCTACATCCTTCCTCAAGCTAAACAAGCTAGTATTAGATTATTTTCAAGCTAAATTTGAATTCTTTATATTCTCCCTTAAGCTAAACAAGCTGGAGTTAAACTATAATTGAATTTTCTACTTCCTTCCTCAAGCTGACCAAGTCGGAGCTGGATTCTTTTCAAGCTAAATATGAATTCTTTATATCTTCTCTTAAGATAAACAAGTTAGACAACTTGATTAGCTTATTTATGAAAAGTCTCTAACTGAGCAAGTGGTAATGGTTAAACACATCTACGAGTTGTTGATCGGAAAGGATTTTCCTCACTTTGTAGTTCTTTGCTTGCAATTTTCTCTCTGATGAAGTAATCTCTCTATATGCTTTGTTTAGGCATACTAAATGATTTGATTTCAAGGCTACTACATTGACATTATCACACCACAAAACAGGTGTTGAAGACATCAACTTCACTCCAATGCTTTAAATAACTGAAGAAGCAAAGCTATTTCAACGGCAACTTGCGCTAATGCTCTATAATTATATTCTAATGATGATCTTGTTAAAAGTTTATTGTTCTATTTTAGTGTTTATTTCATTTAAGCAGTAAGTTGTTGACCTATTATTTAGGAACTATGTTAAAGAGGGTTAGTGATTAGTGACATGGGTTAGTGGTTGAGTGATGAACATTTCTTTAGGAACATTCCTGTAGTGGAGATAGTTATGGAGTCATGGTCTATTGGTTCCTATTTTTTAGTTTAAACTTTGATCTATTTAAGATGTAATTTCTCACTATTTGAATGTGAAGTTGAGTTTGTGTATTCCAAAAGATTTGAGCCTTTATCTCCTTTATTGTCAATATCCTTTTTTTAAGATTTGGTATCAGAGCCAGGTTAAAAAAAATCGTAGCTTTCTTTTTGTAGTAGCAAAAAACCATGGCATTAGAGAGGGTGATTGATAATTTTGTCCAGCCAGCCATACCCCATTTTGATGGTTACTATGACCATTGGAGCATGTTAATGGAGAATTTCCTGAGGTCCAAGCAGTATTGATCTCTTATGGAAACTGTTATTGAAGAACCAGAAAGAGGAAGTGTTCTTACAAATGCACAATAAAAAAAACTTGATGAGTAGAAGCTAATTGACCTGAAGGTGAAGAATTATTTGTTCCAGGCAATAGATCGTTCTATTTTGGAGACCATTCTTGACAAAAGCACTTCCAAACAAATTTGGGATTCTATGAAGAAGAAATACATAGGCTAGATGAAAGTCAAGCGTTCTCAACTTCAAGCTGTCCGCAGAGAATTTGAGACTTTTCAAATGAAGCAGGGAGAGTCAGTGAATGATTATTTTTCAAGAACAATGGCAGTTGTAAACAAAATGAGGCTATATGATGACCAGATGACTAATGTCACCATAGTTGAGAAGCTTCTTCGGTCAATGACACCAAAGTTTGACTATGTTATTTGTTTGATTAAAGAATCAAATGACATAGACGAACTCTCAATAGATGAGCTACAAAGTGCTTTGCAGGTCCATGAGGAAAAGGTGAACCGAAGCAACAATATTACCACTGAAGAGCAAGCTTTGACAGCTTCAACCTTTACTGAATCCTCAGGTTCAAGAGGAAGAGGTAGAGGAAGCGGTAGAGGAAGAGAAGGCAGAGGAAACCCAGAGGAAAATGGAAGCAAGGATCTAAATTTTTAAGCTACTGGCAATCGGTTTTCAGATTCCAGTTGAGGATGTGACAAATCCAATGTTGAATGTTACAGATGTCATAGGTATGGGCATTATCATTCTGAATGCTCCACCAACCTTCATAAAAATAAAGGAAAAGGTGGAGAGCAATCAAATTTTGTAGAGAAAAATGAGCAAGAAACACTGTTGATGGTGTTTCATGTCAAGGAGCATGAGGTTGAACCAGACATATGGTATCTAGACACAAGCTGCAGCAATCATATGTGTGGTAGTAAGTCATTCTTTTCCCATTTAAATGAAGATTTTCATACTACTGTAAGTTTTGGTGATCATTCAAAAGTAAATGTTATGGGAAAAGGTGATGTTCAAATCAAGACTAAAGATGGTAATATTGAAACTATCGCAAATGTCTTTTATATTCCTGACTTGAAAAGAAATTTGTTAAGTATGGGATAGCTGCAAGAGAAGGGATATGTGGCTACAAGGTGCTTGTGAAATTTATGATCCCAATAGGGGTCTTATTGCTCATGTGAAGATGACACCAAAGAGGTTATTTTCGTTGCAAATCAAGAGCATTCAAACTTGTTTTATGAGAAAAATGAATGATCTAGTATGGCTTTGGCATTTTCGTTATGGCCATCTACATTTCAATGGGTTAAAGACTCTTTCTCAAAAGAAAATGATGATTGGCCTACCTCAGATTGTTCCTCCTTCCAAAGTATGTGAAGAATGTGTTGTTGGCAAACAACATCGTGAGCAATTCCCAAAAGGGAAGGCATGGAAAGCACATAAATCACTGGAGTTGATTCATTCCGATATTTGTGGTCCTATTAATCCTGTATCAATGGCAAAAAGAAATATTTTATTTTTTTGATTGATGATTATTACCGAAAAACATGGATTTACTTTTTGCAGGAGAAATCTGAAGCCTTTATAGCATTTAAAAGCTTCAAAGCTCAATTGGAGAACAAAGTTGGGAGAGCCATTAAAACTCTTCGTAGTGATTGTGGCAGTGAATACATGTCACAAGAATTTGCAAATTTTTGTGATGTGCATCGAATTCGATAGCAGCCTACACACCCCAACAAAATGGTGTATCAGAGAGAAAAAACCGAACAATCTTGAACATGGTGAGAAGCATGTTAGAAAACAGGAGGATTCCAAAGTAGTTTTGGCTAGAAGCAGTGAATTGGAGTATACATGTTTTGAATCGGAGTCCCATATTTGCTGTCCAAAACATGACACTAGAAGAAGCTGGGAGCAGATGAAAGGCAGCTGTTGATCACTTCAAAATCTTTGGGTGCATCACTTATGCACAAATTCCAGATGAGAAAAGGAAGAAGCTAGATAACAAAGATGAAAAATGTGTCTTTCTTGGGATTAGTGAACAATCAAAAGCCTACAAATTGTTCAATCCTATAACATCAAAGATTATCATTAGCAGAGATGCTATTTTTGATGAAGAAAATACATGGAATTGGGCTGAAAAAGGTGCAGGGCATCAACAAATACCAGTGAGTTTTGATGAAGTTGAAGCAGAATTGCAGCTACAGCCAACCCTTCCTATTAGTACTACTTTGATGTAGTCAGACCAGCAACTGTAGTAGCCACTTGACTTGTTTGAAGCCTAAACAACTGGGGAAAACACTCGACCTCAGCGAACAAGGAAGAGACTTGTATGGATGCTAGATTATGAGGTTTGTACTGATGAATCTAACAATGATGATACACTTGCCCATTATGCTTTATTATCAAATTGTGATCCCATCATATTCCAAGAAGCTGCGAAAGATTTGAAATTGCAAAAAGCCATGGATGAGGAGATCAAGTCTATAAAGAAGAACAACACATGGCAACTTGTAGAGCTTCCAAAAGGGCATAAATCCATTGGTGTCAAATAGGTTTATAAAACAAAGCTAAAGAAAGATGGTGGAGTCGACAAGTACAAAGCTTGTCTCGTTGCTAAGGGATATAAATAAGAATTTGGTGTTGATTACAAAGAAGTGTTCGCTCCAGTTGCAAGGCTTGATACTATTCGTTTATTATTATCCATGGCTGCCTAGAATCCATGGTTCCTTTATTAGTTAGATGTAAAGTCAGCGTTCTTGCATGGTGAATTAGAAGAAGAAGTCTACATCGATCAACCTCCTGATAATTTGAAGCAAGGTCATGAAAATAAGGTATACAGGTTAAAAAAGGCATTATATGGGTTGAAACAAGTACCGAGAGCTTGGTATAGTCGTATAGATGCTTATCTTGCCAAAGAAAATTTTCTTAAATATCCTTATGAGCACACACTTTATACTAAATTTGTTGATGATGGGAAAATGCTGGTTGTGTGCTTATATGTTGATGACCTTATTTATACCAGTAATGATGGAGCCATGCTCGATGATTTTAAGAAATCTATGATGAATGAATTTGATATGACAGATTTGGGGTTGATGAATTTTTTTCTTGGCATTGAAGTAGTGTAATCATCTATTGGCATCTTTATTTCACAGAAAAAATATATTCTGGAAATTTTAGATGGGTTCAAAATGAAGGACTGCAATTCTGTCTTAATCCCAACTAAACTTGGTTTGAAGCTCACAAAGAATGGAACAACAAAGAAGGTGGATGCTACTTTTTACAAGAAAATTGTTGGTAATCTCATGTATTTGACATCAATAAGGCCATATATTATGCATGCCATCAGTTTAATTAGCAGATACAATGAGAGTCCGACTGAAATTCATCTCTTAGCTGTAAAGAGAATTTTTTGCTATTTGAAAGGTATTGCAGACTTTAGAATTTTGTATAAAAATGGTGGAGAATCAAGTTTGATTGGTTTTTCAGATAATGATTATGCTAGAGATATTGATGATAGAAAAAGTACTTCTGGGTTTGTATTCATGTCAAATTCTGGGCCTGTCACATGGTCCTCTAAAAACAACAGATAGTGACTTTGTCAACTACTGAAGTTGAATTTGTAGCTGCAGCATCAAGTTCATGTCAAGCTATTTGGCTGAGAAGGCTACTTGAAGTTCTACACAATCAGCAACAAGGTCCAACCTTAATTTATTGTGATAATATTTATGCAATAAAACTTTCAAAGAATCTAATTTTACACGGAAAGAGCAAGCATATTGATGTGAGATATCACTTCTTGCGTGATTTATGCAAGAATGGTATTATTGATTTGGTGTTTTGCAAAAGTGAAAATCAGGTTACAGATATTCTGACTAAGCCACTCAAGCCTACTGCATTTATGAAACTTTGAAGTATACTTGGAGTATGTTCAAGGAGTGATGCTATTTCTGAAGATTGAAAGATGTGTTGACGGAATTACTCTAGTAAACTAATGTCTTAAGAACATTTACTTTAAGGGAGGATGTTAAAAGTTTATTGTTCTATTTTAGTGTTTATTTCATTTATGCAATAAGTTGTTGACGTGTTATTTAGGGACTATGTTAACGAGTGTTAGTGATTAGTGACATGGGTTAGTGGTTGAGTGATGAACATTTCTTTAGGAACACTCCTGAAGTGGAGATAGTTATGGAGTCATTGTCTATTGGTTCCTATTTTTTAGTTTAATCTTTGATCTATTTAAGATGTAATTTCCCACTATTTGAATGTGAAGTTGAGTCTGTGTATTCCAAAAGATTTGAGCCTTTATCTCCTTTATTGTCAATATCCTTTTTTTAAGAGATCTTGCTACAACATAAGACTTCTTGGAACACCATTGAATTAAGTTTCCTTCTAGATGGATTATAAAACCACTTGTGAATCTCCTATCATCCAAGTTGTTAGCCTAATCTACATCAGTATATCCTTTAAGATTCAAAGGTAAAGCTACTTGAAATTATAAACCATGCTGCATAATGTCTTTGAGATAACTTAGTAGCCTTTTACAAGCTTGCCATTGGAGTACTGTTGGAGAAAAGCAATGTTTGGTCTTGTAATGGTCAAATACTGCAATGCTCCAATAGATTTTCTACATAAACTATTATTAGTAAAAAGTTCATTGCCATTTTGAAATAATTTGCAAGAGGATACCATAGGTGCAGGGCAAAGATTGGCTTATGCTAGATTAGATTTCTTAAGCTAGTCTTTAATATACTTTGTTTGAGTCAAATAAAGCCCTTTCTCATCTTTGATAGCTTATATGCTAAGAAAATACCAAAGTACCAAATGTCTTTAGAGTAGACCAAGAATTCAAATTTGTAATCAATTTGGCTGTAAAATGCTTGCCATATCCATTAACTAGTATGTCATCTACACAAACAAGTAGATATGTCACATGACCATCATCAAAGTTGAAATAAAATAGGCTAGTATCAGCAATTGAATTCTTAAATCCCAAAGCTTAAAGAGTTTATTCCAATTTATCAAACCATGTGCTTGAAACCTATTTAAGACAATAGAGTACTTTAACCAATTTGCACACGTGATTTGGATACTAAAGATGCACAAATCCTTCTAGCTAAATCATGTAAATTGCCTCCTGAAGATCCGCCTTTAAGAAAACATTGTTAACGTCCAACTATTGGATGTCCCATCATTGTGTTATTGCTAAAGTGATAATCACTCTAACTATGGCAGGTATGATAATTGGGCTAAAGGTTTCAGCATAGTCAAGACTAGGAGTTTGTTGAAAACCCTTAGCAACAAACCTTGCTTTGCATCTTTCTATTGAACCATCAACTTTTTATTTGATTCTATAAACCTACTTGGTGCCTATAAGATTCATATTAGAATAATGAGGAACTAATAGGGTTTAGAAGGAAACAACATATCTACAACCTCTTTCACCTTCTGAATATATTCATTAACAAATAGAGATCCTTTTGTTATGGTTTGAAGAGTATGTTTAATGTGCATAACTTGTGACTCATCTTAAGAGATGATTAATTTCTCTAAGGTACACCAGATTTTAGAGATAAAAGAGATTGAACAGTTCATGAGCTATAGATCCATTCTACTCCATATAACAAATACATGAATGGATTGAGTTTGGGTTTTGGAATCATTATTAGATGAGAGAACTATGGATTCTTTAGGTGCAAGTTTGGATTCAATCAAGAAATGCTCCAAATCGAAAGCTCGCACAATAGATAGAACTTGTGATCTCTTATATGCATTATTCTTATGATAAATTTATTGTAATCGGTGGTAAGTTTGAAGAGGTTATAAGTGGAGAAAATGTAAAGAAATCACTCACATTTGTATGATCTGATGTATGAAAGAAAACTTCTTTCTGTTTGTGAGGTGTAGCTAAAATTTTCAAAATAATTTTGAGTGTTTGGTAATACCAACAGGTTGTATGCAATAAAAGAAAACAGAACAGTGCCTAATTCAAGTTCAGCCGAACTCCAAGAAAAGGAAATGACTAGAATTCTCTCTGCCATTCATCAACTTGGAAAGTTTTAAATACAAGTAGTGGTAAAACAAATTCCTAATAATCAACCCACATTCTCCTTGTAGGTGCTAAAAGAAAGGAAGTAACAGTTACTTTAACCAATCTCCTGAAGAACCGTTCAAACTAAAGAATCGATCTTTATTGACTTCAAGGTAATCTCTAGCTTATGCCCATATTGTCTTATGTGGGACCCGTAACTAGACACGTACACAACAATGCCTTCCCCTTAAAAAAACCTTGCCCACAAGTTTTGGGTAAGTCATCTTCATATCCAAGAGACACTCCCCAGTAGCTGAAGTAGCTGTGGATCTTGCCCACTATATGAGAACTTTAGTCACATGTCTGTGCTAACTTTCACAATCCGTCTATCCAATACTTTATGTGGAACTAGAATAAATAATGTTATCCTTAAAAACAAACGGAAGTGTAGTTTGTGGGACTACCTGATCACCCAATTTCTTTTTGAGTTGAGATACATGGAACACAAGTGTATCCAAGACTCAATTGGGAGATCCAGACGATAACCACAGCTCCAATTTGCTCAAGGATTTTGTTTGGCCTGTAATACTTGAGGGATAGCTTGACTGCTTTTTTGAAAGCAATTGAAGTCTGATGGTAAGGTTGTAGTTGAATGTAAACCAAATCACCAGGTTCAAATACCTTATCAGTGCGATTCTTGTCCGCCATCATTTTTATCCTGTTTGGGCATTTGCAAGATTCTCTTTTAGCATTGAGCAAATAACAGTTCTCTTTCGCAACTGAGTGTTTAGATTCTCTAGAAAAGTACTAATATCATAATAAGATAATAATTATGGAGGTTTATATTCGTAGATAGGCTTAAATGGGTCATACCAATTGATCAGTGGAAATTAGTGTTATGCCACCATTCTACTAGCGTGAGCCAACGAGTCTAGTCTTGGGGTTGAGTGTGGGTAAAGGACCTTAAATAGTTTTCAAGACAACAGTTTGTGACTTCAGATTGTTTGTCAGTTTGCGGATGGTAGGCCAAACTAATTTGGAGTTAGGTGCCATGTAATCGAAAAAGGTCATGCTAAAAGTTGTTGAGAAAAATTTTGTCCCAGTCACTCTAATAGTTTTAAGGAGTCCATACAGTTAAATTTTTTTTTTTTTTTTTTTTAAAGAAGATGCCTGCAATAGTAGAAGCTGAATAAGGGTGGGGTATTGTAAAAAAGTGTGAGTATTTAGATAATCTATCAATCACCACAAAGATCACTACTTTCCCTTGTGATTTTGGCTAGCCTCCTATGAAGTCCATAGATAAGTCAGTCTAAATCTAATTTGGTATGGGAAGGGGCTACAACAAACCACCTAAAGCATGATTTTTGGCTTTACTTGGCAAATAGCACATTGCTGAACATAACACTGAATATGTTCCGTCATTCCACGCCAATAGAAGTCTTGAGTGATTTGTCTAAGTGTTTGGTGGAAGCCAAAGTGGCCTCCATTCAGACCCTCGTGTAATTCCCGTAAGATCAACATACGTGTAGGAGAGTTGCGATCTAGGTATACCCTCCTTTATAAAATAACATGTCATTCCTCACTTGATAAATTGTTTTGGAAATCTTCCCATTTGACATGTCAAAAAGTTTGTGTTGGATAGTAGACGAAGAAATACTCTCAGATTTTATTAATTCTAGCCAACTTAGTAAGAGAGTGGAAATTGCATAGCACTCTGGTAGTCATGAGAGAGCATCAGCTACATGGTTGAAGGCCCTACTTTTGTAAACCGTCTGGAAATCACATCCCAGCAGTTTGGTAATCCATCTTTGCTATGAGTAAGGGGGAGCATGGGTAACGAGTAGAACCGAAACTAGCGGGGTAGGAACCAAAATCAGCCTTTAGGGCCGGTTCCGGTTCTTTATGGATGTACGCTGTAGCTTGTAGCTTGATTATTATTTTTTATTTATTCCATTATTTTACTCATCTCCTCATTCTAATTTCAAATTTTGCATTGTGTATGTGTGGAATCGGCCTTTACGAGGCTAGTTTTGGTCCTCAAAATGTATTTTATGTGTTGAATCAGGGACCAGCTCCTGTTTTAGTCAAGGCTGAGGTTCCATGGTTGACTAGAAGGAGAAATCATTCTTACAAGGAACGTGTCTTGAAGGTAATGCTTTTATGATTTATTTTCTACAATGTAATTAGTAATTGAAATTTGATATTAACAACCTTGGTAACATAATCATTGTTTTAATCTTGGAGTTCCAAATATAATCTAGCACTTGGTGAATGTTGACCCATATAGTTAACAAGGTCATATTTGTAATTTGATTAAGCAATTATGTTTTATTAGTTATAAAAATAGAATCTGGAAGTCACACTTTGATAGCTATATTCATTTTTTACAAAAACAAGATTACCAGAATAACAGTTTTTCTTTCTCTTGTTCTCTCTATCTCTCTCTTTTTTTCTCTCTCTCTCACAAGTTCAACTTGGTATCAGAGCTTCTGATTAATGTCAATGGCGTCTGATTCTGGCTCTACTCCACCACCTAACAATGTTGAAGAGATTTTAAGAGAG